AGAGAATTAAAGGCGTTGACGATATCGAGACTTATCGCCAACGCCACACCACCCTGGGATACTGCTTGTTCCCGACAGGGAGCAGACGCGCATGATGGCATCTACTGTAGAACGCTCCCGTCGGAATCCAAACTGGCTATCAACCAAATCGGGACCAACGCGCGACAGATGCCCGTTGAGCCGAGTGGCAACTATTCGTTCGAACAATTTGCCGATCTCGTCCAAGAGGCATATGGGACGGTACGCAGAGGGAGAATCGGCGGCCCTGCCTTCCTTCTTCAAGAGAACCAACCTTGCCTCTTTCCATACGGTGGAGAACTTGGCACTTCGCAGACAGTCGGTAAAAAGCTGCCTAAGCCTGTCCCCCAGATTAGCCAGACTCAGCACTAGGACTCGACCCGGGATATCATCTGGTCCCGGTGCAGTGTTCCGGGCTCTTAAGCGGCTAACGGCTCGGTCCAGCTCCTCCACGGTTACCACCATCTCATCTTGCCACTCCCATGATAATGGCGGGTAGCTTGAGGGACTTGACCGGTCCTCTGGGAAGATTGTGCTGATCACCCTTTCCAGCAGGTCCGGATCGAGAGTCTCCGTCAAGGGGGGCGACCAGGGCCGGAGTTTACCCAGCACCATTCTGTATGGGCGCCCCCAGGGATCTTCGTTGAGTCCCTCCAGGAGCTCATTCCAGGACCGAGACCTGGCATTGGCAATGGAGAATTGCAACGCCTTCGTGGCCGCGCGGTATTGCCCGTAGAGTCTGGCTATCTCCTCAGGCGGAGCTCGCCTTCTCCTCCTTCGGGCTCTGGTGTACTGGCGCCGAGTCCGCAGACAGATCGCACGGAGCCGTGCGATTTCTGCCGACCACCAGTATACCACTCTACGCTTGGGGCGACTGGATCTGGGCATCGACAAGTCGCATATCTGTGTCATCGTGCCTCGAAATCAGTTTGTTTCCCCTTCCAGATCGGACTGAATCTCTTCAACTTTTTCTGGCCATGCCGCGACGATGGCGGCGGCTTCGAGCTTGTCTCGGTCTAGCCGCCTGAGAGACCAACGCCGCGGTGGGCTGCCTTCCCGGCGGCTGGAAACACTGGCAGGCTGGCGAAGTGTGACATCGAAAACGATGTGCCGATGGTCGGACAATGTAACCGCCTCCTCCATCCTGAGCCACCTGCATCCATCAACTTCTTGCATATCTTACCAGGTTGTCACTTAATCTAGTGGGAGGACGCCCTACACTTCGGCTGCCGGTACGACGCTGCCACTCGAGAACCTTTTTTCCCCATCGGTTGTCGGTTCTTCGAGCTATATAGCCGGCCCATTGCCTCTTCAGCTTACTGATCCGTTGGACTATGTCGGTCACTCTGGTTCTACTGCGGATATCCTCATTTCTAAATTTATCACGCAGAGAAACTCCGAGTGGCCTTGAGCTTCCTCATCCGGCCAGCAGTGACGGACCACGTCTCAGTTTCATATGTCATCACTGGCAACACGCACTGGTTGTACAATTTCGTTTTAAGGTTTTGAGGTATGTCTGACGAGAAGATGTGTCGTAGCTTCCCGAACGCTGCCCAGACGAGTTGAATCCGTCGATTGACCTCTCGGTCGAAGTTGGACTTACCTAGTCGGACTATTTGTCCCAGGTAAACATACTCGTCAACAACTTCGAGCTTAGTGCTCCCAACAACTACCGGCATAGGTGTGACATGGACATTAAACAGAGTCATGACTGATGCTAATTCCTAAAAACGTCAGCAATTATAAATATGTTAAAACCAGTTAAATCAGCTTTTTTAAAGGTAGCATTCGCGCAAATGTAAGAAATCATGATATAAGGTCTATTTCCACCTGCGATACGTTTTAAGGCATCTACTTTACTTACTTTTATGTTGTAGTAAATTCCTTTGGTGACGAAATTTGCATCCTCTATGTTTAGTATTTATCATTTTGCGTCTTGCGTTATTGTTTATTTAACCAAATAAAGATATAAAAAGGCTATCAAATAACCCCTTCATTTCTGAATAAAAGTTGTGACCGGTTATTCTACAAGCCTTTAATTCCGAAAGATCATTCGCTACAATTTGATTTTAGTCATTTTGATGGATTAAACGAGAAAATATTTAACAGAGCACGTAATATTCGCAACGTTATTGAGGTAGGTAGTAATTATTAGTGGTACATAATGTATTTTTTTATAAAACTTTAAAAGTGATAAAGTTAGTAATGCAATGTGGCAACGTAGCCACATTGCATTATGAAGTAGCATGAATGTGTGGGATCGATCGGAAAGGACTACGCTCGAAAAAATACCAGCGCCTACGTTTTGTAGCATTCCTTGGATGAGGCCTATGTTCAGCAGTGAACTTGTGGAATGCTGCAGGCAGGCTGCAATGATGATGATGATGATTTGTACTTTCGTCTTCTTTGCATTAATTTACCATTGCCGTGCACAGCTAGGATTACTAATTATTAATATAAATAATTATTACAATGATGAAACTTTGGTGAGATGTAATGCATACGCCCGCAATCGCAATGCACGTCAAGTACAGCTAGCTATTATTATAATTCCCCATTTAAAAACTCTCAAGTCATTGTAAATTACTATTTCTCTTTATTGCGATGAAGTAACCGTCATTAATCATTGAACTTGACCATCACAGCGCAGCACAAAAGCGCCTTTGTGCATATTCGGCAATAAAATAAAATCCCATTGTTTCTACACGTAGGCGAACAACAATGATAGCTTTAACAAGGGAGCATTCAATAAAATAATGGACTATTTTGTCTTTTGAAAGGTAATGACAAATGGAGGAACTTTACTAGATCATACTCAAATTCGTATGTGGCGTTGTTTAGTATTGTTAAAATATTTATCTCAAAAGTTAGTTTAATTTGTTTAAATTTTGATTTAAAATTTTTATCTCTAAATATTTATATTTGCTCGAAATTTGACCGTAATTAATAATGTTTCTTTTTTTCTTAGAAGGAGACAAGGGAACACAGCCTACCTGATTGTAAGTGGATACTGTGGGCCATAGACATGTAGATCTATCCGGATTAAGAATCCAATAGCAGATGCGTTGTCACACCTTAGGACTAAGATAGACTCACCATACGAAAGAGAGCAGCATTGAGCTCATATTTTATGATGGTATTCTGTGAGAGCGTGGTCCTACACCAGTCGAGCTGACCCATTCGTGCTGCAACTATACTAATATAGCTGCAGCATGGCTCTACCACGTAAATGATATTTATGTTTTTTTTTTCGTTTAGGAGGACTTTGCTTTTGATATGTAGTAAGAGCACGAAAAGCATGTAGCACGAATGGATCAGCTAGCCATTCGTGCTGCTACCATAATATAGCTGCAGCGTACCTCTATCATGTTCAAATATTTTAGGTTTGTATATTAAAAAAACTGTATTTGACTTTCAATTGGACATTAATATATTAAGACATCTTATATACGACATATAAAATAAACGTTTCACCTTGGCATATACTCCACACTAAACGTAGTGATTATATTCTCTTTGCTCCACATACTTTTGAATAAGGAACATTTGTAATCACACAAAATTCAAAGCATGTCAGTAATTATTTCTTGACAATATTTTAAAATTTTTTGGTTAAAATTTCTACTCCTCCAATCTGTGTGACTGTTTGTTCACAGACTATTAAGAGTTGGACATTGACCATAGAGTAGTATAATGCAATATATTACGCTTGTACATACTCTGCGACATTGGCAGTATTAATATCAAGCAACGACATAATTTTTCCAAACAACAAAAATGTTTCACATTGACAGTATGAACGAAAACAATTTATATTTTATTTAATTTAATTAATTTCACTTCACCACCGAGCACATAATAAATTAGAAATTATTATTACAAGTAACGATTTAATTGAGACCGGAATCGAACTTAAGGCTAACAGTTATCCTCAGAGCTTCCGTGCAAGTCCGGAAGCTCAGAGCTTCTTGTACACTCACTTGCAAAAAAAACGGGCGGTTTTAACATTTTTACTCTGTGAAAAAAAAATACAACACGAAAAAGTTTTATATTATTTGAACATGTTACTGGCCGGTTATAAAAGTGCTGTGATGTTTAAAAAAGTACGTCCCAAACTGAAATTGTTTTGAAATAAAATAATTTTTACCAATTTTGTGCCAACAACTCCCGAAAGTTAATATCGATTGTAAATAAATTTAAGTTAATTTTTATTGAATTATCTCATTTCCTTGACATTTCGAAGAATTTTATTGCTGTTCAGCTGACTTGAATGATAGATAAATACGTAAAAGCCAGCAAAAAATATTCTGCTGCTTGTGTATGGTTCCAGCCAATCTTCGTGGCTAAGGGGCTAAATGTGACCGTTTGACCGTTCAAAGGACCTGGCAGCGCTATCAACAGCACCAGTTTTGTCAAGGGAGGGTCTTGTTCTTAGAAGAAAGCCATGTACATACTTAACCACGAGATGATCGTTTTTTGTGAGTCCGCTTGACTTGTAATAATAATTTAACCACGAGATGATCGTTTTTTGTGAGTCAAGCGTTCAGGAAATCTTCGAATGTGGACCTTTAGTGCAACCTCAAAGAAGTGAGAAATATGCAAATGAGTCTATTAATGGTCAGGAGGAAGCTTCTCGTGTCATCACACCGTGTGTCACCCAGCCTGCGGCCAATTACTTCGTGAGCAACGAGTTGCTTGGTTTAGTTTTGCTCTAAATTATATGACATGGACTCAAGAAGACTGGGATATGGTATTGTCCCCAAGTCTGTCTATGTCCCTGCACGATGAAGAGCGGATGTTGGCGTGTGCTACGAATACAAGGAGAATGCTTTGCGGAGGCATGTTTTAAGAAATCATTCCTTATGTTGGAGGCTCTGTTATGTTTTTGGGCAGGAATAAATTAATTGTAATTGTATGGAGTTAGCCTTCATCGAAAACGGCACACTGAATTGTCACCAATATATTACGGAAGTTCTAATTTCTCATGCGCAATCCGCATTAGCCGATCTTGGAGAAAACTCAATTTTTTTCGCGTCCACCATTCTGGCCATGTGGAAGAGTATAGGCTAGAGGAAAAATTTGTCATTTGGATTGACCAGGTCGAATTCATAACCTAAATCCCATAGAGCATGTCAAGGATATAAGTGCAGCTAGCTCTGCAGACTATTTGAGGGCAAAAGCATATGATTACCGTGGAGTGGGAATGTGCTTCAAAAGAAACCATATGAGATATATTCTCCAGCATGCCCAGACGAATGTAAGCTGTGAATTCAGCAAGAGGGGTTAACACTTCATACTAAAATTTTATCTGCTTTTAATTTATTAAAGACAAACAAATTGAAAAAACAGCTGAGGGGGCAAACGAGTGTAGGTGCTTATGGGGGCTGATTAATTAATAGTCCGTTTTCTCACACTTATATTTTTTATTGCGCTAGGCACACAGAAATAAAGTTCAATAACAGCACAATACAGAAGGTACAAATGAGTAGACAGGAATACAGTAATATATATGTTCAAGGAAGAATTAAACTATACGAACTGCATAAGCTTGGGTATTAGGCAGACAATGGGTATGGGATACGTATAACGTGAAACGCGGAAGCGGACGAACTGGCGATCTGCTGTCCCGAAGGCGCGGGCTCAGCGACCGAACCAGTTTCACATTCCTTCGTTATGCAGATACATAAAAATGCATGGCGCGTGTCTGCTTGTACATAATTTAATTTATTAATAGGTAATATCTTACAAAATTTACGCATATTTATTAACAATTGAAAAACCTTAATAAATAATAGAACATAGATTAATAATACTTAAAATTTATTTATAAAATATTAATATTTAAAACTTTCAACAAATAAAGTGTAAAACTCGCCACATAACCCCCCTTCCAGAGGCCTTGTTAAGGACGATAATAGTCAGGAAATTGTACCCTACGGCCTGATCGAGTACTGACAATATTTCTTTCTGGGTGTGGAGGAGTGTGTCGGTTGTTCAAAATATGTTTACTTTGTGTGTGATTTTGTATGTGTGATTGTGTGCTTGACTGTGTTTGTTCAGGTTTGTCTGTAGGTTGGGTCTGTAGTACGTAGGCGGGCTTAATTCGGTCTATTGAAACCGAGATTTTATTACCATTCATTAGTAACTTAAATATTTTGTCTCCTCTTTCTACTACTTCATATGGGCCCGTGTAAGCTGGTTTTAAGGAACCACCTATGGTGTCGTCCCTAACAAAGACGTTGGTCGCCGTAGCCAGGTCTTTAAAAACGAATATGGGTCGTTTTTTACTACCGTGATGTGAGGTAGGAGACGGTTGCAATTCTTTGACAAAATTGCGAAGACGCGATAAGTAGTCTGTTACGTCGATGGTGTCTTCGATCTGTGGGGCAAATAATTCGCCTGGAAGGCGTAAAGGTTGCCCATACACCAACTCCGCAGATGACGCCTTGATGTCTTCCTTAAAAGAACTTCGGATCCCTAATAGAACGAGTGGAAGGCAGTCAACCCAGTTTTCACTCGCATGACAGATGATAGCAGCCTTCAACTGTCGGTGAAATCGCTCCAATAATCCATTGCACGCAGGGTGATATGCTGTTGTTCGTCTATGCCTAAATCCTGCGATATCAGATAGGCGCTTAAAGAGAACAGATTCAAATTGTCTACCACGGTTTGAAACTATATCCGTCGGGCAGCCAAAGCGTGATATCCAACCACTCAGCAAAGCTTTAGCCACGGTCTCAGCTGTTATATCAGGCAGGGGTATTGCCTCGGGCCATCGCGTGAAGCGGTCAATGGCTGTAAGGCAATAGCGGTAGCCTTGGGATATAGGTAGGGGCCCGATTAAGTCAATATACAAAAAGGCGAATCTTGACTTTGGCAAGGAATAGTTACCGATGGGTGCAGATACGTGACGTGTGACTTTGGCTCGCTGGCATTGCAGGCAGGCACGTGCCCACTCTCGGCAATCTTTGCGCACTCCTGGCCAAACGTACCTTTCGGCAACGAGTTTTGCTGTGGCACTACCGCCTGAGTGTCTTAGTGAGTGCAAGTTTTCAAAAACCAGTTGGCGCAAACTCTTCGAGACGAATGGTCTCAAGGTGTTGCCATCGTCGTCACAGTATATCTCCACGTCTGAGCCGGGTACTCGTACTTTTCGCAGTTGGAGGGAATTCTTGGATTCCAGCAATAGTTTTAATTCGCAATCAGCTTGCTGGCATTGGGCTAACTTTTCGAGACTTATGGGTTGTGCGATTTCCTCGACTCGTGACAAGGTATCGGCGACCACATTATTTTTTCCTGCAATGTGCCGTATATAGGTACTGAATTGCGAGATAAAATCTAAGTGTCGAAACTGTCTCGGTGAGCAGTTTTCTTTCCTCGTTAGGAATGCATGAGTTAGGGGCTTGTGATCCGTGTAGATCACGAAATCCCTAGCCTCAATCATATGCCGAAAGTATTTGATGCTTTTGTAAATAGCGAGCAATTCTCGGTCATAGGCTGAGTATTTCTGCTGTGCTGAGCTGAGCTTCTGAAAAAAGAATGCCAAAGGTTGCCAGTCCTTACCTTTTAGCTGCTGCAAGGTTGCGCCAATCGCTTTATCTGATGCATCGCTGACAGCGCTAATTTTGCGTCACACTCTGGGTGCGCTAGCATGGTGGCTTGGGAGAGGTTTTCCTTACAGGCATTGAAGGCTTCATACTCTTTTTTGGTGAAATTAACCGGATGTGGGCCTTTGACTGATCCCGTAAGCAACTCATTGAGGGGTGCCTGATGTTTAGCAGCTTCTAGGATGAATCTACGGTAGAAATTCACCATTCCCAGAAATTTGCGTAGCTCTTTTATTACCTTTGGCGCAGGAAAATTCATAATGGCCTCAACCTTGGAAGGGAGAGGCTTAGACCCTTCGGCAGAGATGCTATATCCAAGAAAGGTCACCTCTGGCACACCGAATACACATTTGGCTGTATTTATCACCATCCAATACTCTCTAAGCTGGTCGAACACCTGGCGGAGATGTTGTTTATGGTCTCCTGGTCCCTAGAGAAGATCAAAAAATCATCTAAATATGCATACGTGAAATGCGCTTCGTGGACGAAATGCTCCGGGGACTGGTCCCCGGAGCATTTCGTCCACGAAGCGCTGGAAGGTCTGCCTAGCGTTCCGAAGGCCGTACGACATGAATAGGAACTCGTAAAGCCCGAACGGTGTCGTGATGGCAGTCTTCGGAATGTCCTCTGGACTCACAGGAAGCTGGTTATAGGCTTTGACCAAATCGATTGTAGAGAACACCGTACAACCTGAAAGGCTAAAAGCAAAGTCCTGAATATGACGTATCGGATACATGTCAGGGATGATTCGGGCATTGAGCATGCGGTAATCGCCGCATGGACGCCAACCATTCTCTTTTTTGGGAGCGAGGTGCAGTAGTGATGCCCATGCCGATTCTGAAGGTCGGCAAGTACCATTCTGCAACATTGCTTCGAATTCGGCTTTAGCGATTTTCAATTTATCTTGTGCTAACCTGCGTGGCGTGCAAATCTTAATAAATAATAGAACATAGATTAATAATACTTAAAATTTATTTATAAAATATTAATATTTAAAACTTTCAACAAATAAAGTGTAAAACTCGCCACAATAGCATGCGGCTCACCTGATGGTAAGTGAATACCGCCGCCCATGAACAACTGCAACACCAGGGGTTGCAATCGCAGATGTGTTGCCGGTCTTTTAAAAAGTAGTAAGCTCTTTTCTTGAAAGTCTCTAAGTCTTATCAGTCCGGAAAAATCGCTGGTGGTTATCGATTCCACAAGGAAGTTGTGCGAGAAAAAAAATCTTATTAATTGCACAGTGGTGGACCGCCAATCATCCAGGTGATATGGATGGTATCGCGAGTATTGTCCCGATGTGCGATGGTGAAATTGAGCGGCTGAAATTAGTCTGAAATATACCTCAGAGCGCTCCCCCATGGTACATGCGATAAAATACGCATAGAGATGCAACATCTCTACGCAGTGCAAGTGAGTCAAGCCGATCGGATAGAACTCGGTCGTCGACAATTCGAACCGCTCTGCGCTGGATGCGGTCATGTGGAAGGAGCTGGAACTGGGGAGCCGCTGCTCAGAGATGTGAACAGTATTCCGTGTGAGGCCGAACCTACACCTTGTAAAGTTCAAGCCGTATGCTGGCATAAAATACTGTCTCGCTCTGCTGAGCACGCCAAGCTTTTTAGAGGCCAATTTGGCCTTCTCTTCCAAGTGACCACAAAACTGCACGTCACTAGATATGTCGACGCCGAGGATTCCGATACTTAGCAGTAAAAGTGCAAACTTGTGTCTTCTGGGGATTAAAATGGACTAGATTTAATTGCCCCCAATCCGAGACTTTGTGAAACAAAGTCTCGACTTAAGACATAAGTATGTTCCGGTACTCGGCGACGTTTTCTAGAAAAATACTGGCACGGCCGGTGTATAGAGCATCACCAGTGCTGTCATCTGCATAGCAATGTATGTTACCTGTTTGCAACACATCATTGATATGCAGAAGAAACAGAAGGGAGAACTAGTTTCTCTCCAATTCTGTCTATGTGCTCTGCCTTTTCCTTGGCAATAACTCTTTTGAAGGACCTGGCGATGAAGTTATACTTCTTTTTAAGCATGCTGGTAATTACATTCCGAGCCGCCGAAGCCTCAGCCCAGGCCTGATAACACTCTTGCTTACTGCGTAATGCAGTCTTACAGGAGCGACCAAACAGCGACAAAAAATTATCAAAAAATCTAATAGTAACAATAAAATTGGTTCTATGCTTAGGTGCCCGTTTTGTTTCTATAGAGTTAATTTTGTTTTTATTTAAAAATACGTTAAACCCATGTAAGAGCTTTCCCTGTATCGTGGATGTGGTTTTCATTTATAAAATTCACATCTTAACCCGGAAAAATTGGTTCTAGGTCATACAAATACCTCAAACCCACGGCCCTCCTATGAAACGACAACAAACTTGGCGATTTCTCTATGGATTAGAAGAAATGAATGTTTCTTCTAATTAACAATTTACAATGTGTATATTACTTCCGAGGAATTAGAACACAGGTATGCTAAAATATTTAAACTTTCATGTAAAGAACTGGCTTGCTAAATCTTATCAAATTTTCATATCGCATCCCTTCAACCCCGAGCCCTGTCCTTTTTAATCCGACCTTCTAAGGGTTTGACGATGGGATTAGAGACAGCTTGTAACAAAAACTTTAATCCAGGCATATTACATTGTTCGCTAAAGCATCTTTACTTTCCTTCTTTTAGTTTTTTAAATCTTTTTGACGAAGGATATAAGAAGTAAAATATTTATTTGTGACGAGAAAATAGAAAACAGATTTTTATTCATTAAATATATAAATAATACTTATTTGAAGTCATTTTTATGTTTAATTTGTCACTGGTTCGAAAAATATGTTTGTCTTAGGAACAACTAGCAGGAAACCCAGTAGAATATTATTTCTTGAAATATCTATAAAGGAAAATTAAATTGTAACATAAAAATACATTATAGTCAACTACGAGTACAAAAAACAAATTAAAATAGCTTGGTACGATTACCTCTTTCCTAGGTGTTGTTATCAGTCATTTTATTTTGAAGTTATACTTCTTTTGGGGTGTTTGGGAAAAACGATGAGTGTCAAATTTTGCGCGCGCACACCGACACCTAAAAACGAAACCATGAAGTTGTTACGATGCGCGCGCACACTGACACATAAAAGCGACTACTTCAGTGGGTAATTGTCTGTTAAGTTTTTTGTTATGTTACGCATATATAAGCACACACACACACACACACACACACACACACACACACACACACACACACACACACACACACACACACACACACACACACACACACACACACACACACACACACACACACACACACACACACACACACACACACACACACACACACACACACACACACACACACACACACACACACACACACACACACACACACACACACACACACACACACACACACACACACACACACACACACACACACACACACACACACACACACACACACACACACACACACACACACACACACACACACACACACACACACACACACACACACACACACACACACACACACACACACACACACACACACACACACACACACACACACACACACACACATAAAATAGCAATTTAAATATTGCCAAATTATTATCAAATAAATAAAAAAAAGAAAAAATCAAACTCTTAGGATGGAAAAACAATGGCTGTAGTTTTTATTGTAATTATTTATACAGCTTTCTAGTACTTACATTGCACTTGTGATATTCCTTAGTCACAGTCAAAGGGGTAAAATATTTAGACTTTTAATTTTTTTATTTTAGTTTTTAAATTTGGTTTTTAATTTTTATCAGAAATTTAATTGTACAATTTTTTTTATAGGATAAGGGCGACAAACGAGCACACAGTCCACCCGATGGCAAGTGGTTGCTGTGGCCCATAGACATCTACATTTATCCTCGATTACGAATATCAAAATGTAGATGCGTTGTCACCCGTGAGGACTAAGATGGAATGCCTCGTTTCCAGTAAAAGGGTCTCCGGTTCTCTACACTCACCATACGAAACACAGCAGCATTAAGCTGCTATTTTACGCTGGTATTCTGTGAGAGCGTGGTCCTTCCCCGGTCGAGCAGACCCATTCGTGTTACAACTATACCAGAAATATAGCTGCAGCATGGCTCTACCACGTATAGATATATTTGTACTTTGTTTATACAAAGCATTTATAAACGTGAGCATGTCCAATTAAGTTAAAATGCAAATTTGCCAAATTCAAAATAGGTTTATTAAAATTAGTGATGTGTAAAAAGCGCCGCGTATGGAGAATGTTCTCGTAATCATTTATATCATAATTGCTTTTACTTTGTTGAATATTGGCTCAGACTGAAATGTTATCGTGTATTGTGCACCAATATTTTTTAAAATAAAACTAAAGTATAAACGAACTTACATTCTACCTGATGGTAATTGGTGGCGGATGGTATACGTGGCCACGCTACCACGTTTGCAGCTATGTTATGACTCGGCTTGACCGGGGAAGGACCACGCTCTCACAGAATACCAGCTTAAAATAACAGCATTAACAGTCACGGATAACAAATTCTCTGTGTGATATTTTACAGTGGTCACGGAAGACAGCCACCATAGACTTAGAATATATTGGCGTACAGACATCCATAGTGTGCAAGGGAGAAGAAAATTCCGTATGGCAAAACTGCAAGATAGAAAACGATACCAAATATCATGACTCTGTAACCGATTTTGAATGACAGATCGGCACAAGTCGACACGCAAAAAATAAGCTCCTAGATATTTTGTAATTTTTTAGAGTATAATAGTAGTTATTTTTAGTAAGTAACTTTTTTC